CGAAGGGAAAAGAAAGGGCGATTACAAAGATGAAGACTTCCTTCAGAAGCCTGCCCTGCTTCGGCAGCCTAATGAGAAGCTGTTCTGTAGTAACCAGGTGTGAGAGCTGGTAGCTCATAACGTCCTGTGGAGAAGAACAAAAGGGATGCTGAGGAAAGAGGGGAAGCTCAAGAAGAGACGGAGACATGTGAAAGAAACCAAAGGGACGCAAACGGAAAAGCAGACCTGATGCGAACGATCGATTCTAACGTGCATATTGATGGTTTGCACTTGAGAGACTCGTTCTGTTACCTACATGCGACAAGCGGAGACACTGAATCATTACGATAAGCTGGGGGGACCTGAACATGCGTCAGCTCAAATCGATCTCCATTAAAGCAGAGAACAGCGAGAGGCAGCCAAGCTGTTGGGCTCCGGTCAGATCGTGTTGCCAGCCCTAAGATCAAGTATAAATTAAAGAGGTTTATTCATCAGCTGCTGGTTATTGACAGTCAAGTCAGGTTTTTTCAGAAGACATTGGAAGGTGTTTAGATGCATGTTCAATCACCTTAACCTTAATATCCATAAAGATAATTAATGGAAACTACTTAACTTGAGTTAATTAATTCAGTCTACCTGTGTTTTCACACCCGATAGTCCAGTAGACTGTTCGATTGGGGACCAAAATTGCAACATTTGTCATATTTTCAGATGCTGCAGTTCAATTTCACACTGAAATAATCCAAACCCTTTGGAAAAAACCTGCTCACCTCCTCGTCTGTGGTGGCACTGCATCAATAACCACTGAAAGAAACGACACAAAAACCTCCAAAGAAGACACGTGCGGAACTTCCTTCTTCATGAAATCCAAACAAAAATGGAGAGGCGTCAGATTTTAGAGGTTGTAAGATTTCTTTTTTGTCTTTGTCAAAAGAATACAAGCCATTTTCCTCACTACCGTTAGACTCTAGCATTTATGTAGTTTGCATTTATCCAGACTTTCTTGCTCTATAGTCCACTTCCTGCTCTTGGAACGGTCTCTGGTTTGCTTGGTGACCAAATATGAATTCGGACCATCACCAGAGTTCACGTTCATTGAATCAAGAACTATGTTTTTTTGGCGGGTCAAATTTTGGTTCACATCATTCACACCGCCCCGAACAAAGCGGACTTTGTAGGCATCCGAACCAGAGTTTGTTCAAAGCGAACTAACCCGGGCTGATGTTTCACCTTAAACTATGAAAGTTTAAAACAAATTTGGGGTTTCCAAGTTGTGAACCTCCAATATTACCATCGTCTATATTAAAACGTTCATGTTTGGTTGAATGCCGGCGTTTGCCATCCGGAAAAAAACGGTTTCAGTGTCGTGTGAAGTCGGCCATGCCAAGGGCAGCAAAAGGTCTCTGTTCCTGTTCAGACTAGTGTATTATTACAGTGTTTGCATTGCGACGCGCATGAACTTGACTGGGACCTGCAGTGTAAATTAATACAACGCCGTCATGCTGCAAATTCCTCTATAGCGATACAAATAGAAACTTGAAAAGAGCTCATTTCCCATGACTAATCTACAAGAAAAGTCTTCTTGAAAGAGTGGGGGAAAAAAAAACAGTCTGCTGTGGGGCTCTTGGGCACTTGGAATATTCATTTATTTAAGAGGAATTTACATGGAGTTTGTTGTTTGGGAGGCATGTGCATGTCACAAATGCACAACCAAACAAAAGAAAAGTGATATGAACAAATATTTGCAAGCAACAAGAAATAGAGCAAGTTGAGCAAAAAGCCTAGCTCTCCTGCATCGGTCTAATTTCTGAAACGACAAAGAAAACAAACAAACAAACAAAAAAAAACAGTTTCTTATGCTCTCCTGCTGCCCTCAGCACATTCCCTCTCAAAGAGACGGGTCGTTTCAACCGTTCTCAGTGTGTTCAGGTTAATGCGACTTCCCTCAGTTGCCCAAAAGGCTACCTCTCCTCCCCATCCTCAGCAGTTGACTGAACGTCAAGGAAAATCGAGCCGAAGCGCCTTCTTTCATTAATAAAACTCATGCCGTGTTCACTTTGAAGCTCTAATTTATGTTCCAATAAACTTTGTCGCAGCCTCTCAGAAAGACTCTCTTTGTAAAAAATAGAGATTTATTGACGATCTTATTGGAGCGTGCCTCCTCTTGTCCCTCGGTGCACGTCGTTGTTTGAAACTCTGTGGCTTGGCAAAGCACCGCCCTGGCTTTTCTTCTAAACAACACACATTCTCAGGGGTTTTGCTCGTGTTTGTCTTGCACATAGGTACTGTGGCATTAAGCAGTTTCCCAAAAAGAATTTTACTGATATTTTAAAGTTACTAAAAACCTGTGTTTTGATGCTTTTAATACCGTAAATGGGATCTACTGAGCTCCCTGTTGGATTCAGTAGTGTGTCTTGCCCGTAGTAAAGAACCGTTTTCTTTTTCTGTAGTTTTGCATAAATGCAGAAAGCTGTGGTTTGTGTGCAGTTCTCATTTTGCTGTAGCCATATTAAGCAAAGTAAAATGATCAGTCTCACTCTTTGGAAAGCTAAATAAGAAATCCTTATCTTCCTGAGAACTATATGCGCCATAGTAAAAGATGAAATGAGAAATTTAATATGCATTTCCAATTATTGAATTTATCTAAACCAAAAAATAAAAACCATACAAACACATATTGACTAAGAAAGAGCAACAACTCCAATGAATTTGCAGTCTGCTCGGTAAAGTACTGATTAATAAGATCGAAAAAAATCAGCCGCATGAGTTAAAACTAACTCAAGCCAAACATTTATCAGAATTATTCAAGTTAAAAAGAACAGCATTTCTTTATTTTGTAATATCAAACTTTAAAATCCCACTTGAATCTAATTAAGGGAAGAACTTAAAACCCAGATGCAAGGCATATTTTTGTTGTATACAACCACAGTGCTTTACGGGACATCAAAGAAAATAAGAACGAAAACCTTTTAGTTTTGCTAAAAAAAAACAGAGAGGGAGACCTTCATATGATAAGCGCTTAAAGCATTTTATAGAAAGAAAAGTCAAAATGCAAATGCAAATTCAATCTCATACTTAAATCACTCAGCTGTGATCTTGTAAACTGCTTACTGGAGTCTTTGATTAAAAGCTGCACTAAACTGTGTTTTCGTTTGTGCTTTGATTTACAATACCGTTTTGAGTCCATCGCCCTCGCTCATGCTTGTTATTCATCCCGTCTACTATGAAAGTTGAAGCTGGCTGATTGTTGAACTGTTGCGTTTTGCTCGCAGGGCTTTGTTGCAGCCAGCAGTAAAAATCAATGTGTTGAGAAGCAGAGCTAGTTATGGTTAACAGTTGTCCAAACGGGCCTCCAGGCAGGGACCGGCTGCTTTTAACTGTAGAAGTCTGCTGTTTTTGTTGTCTGTGTAGCACAAACGTTCAATGTAAATGTAAAATGTAAAATTGTAAAAAATCGGAACACATTTCCTAATAAGCAGATACATTCAATCTTGTCAACATTTTGTTTTAATTGTTCCTGTTAGTAGGAAGTTATTCAGTGTGTTTCGTTAAGCTAATGCTACGTAGCCTTATTTATTTTCGATTTTTTGATTTTTCTATTGACTACAATGTATTAATGTTTGGCTTTCATTTTTATAATATTTAAGATTCTATTGATTTTTACCATCACAGATATTTTTTGTGAGGTGATGAAATTCTCTCTGCCGTTTCTATGAGAATAAGTTTCTTTTTTTTTTTTTAATAGTAAGTCATGTTACTAAGTTGCTCTCCAACTCTTCCAGTCTTATAAGCCAAGTCCTTGCAAAGTCTGGCATACACGTTTCTACAAAACGGCATTGTTTGTCTCATCGTTTTCTTGCCAGTCTTACTAATGACTGGCACGTTTTATGTTGGGCGCGCAGTAATTATGTGGCTCTTATGTTGCCTAACTGAGCTAAGTAGCTAAAAGATTTAGCAACCCTTCAGCAAGTATGTTAATACTACTTTACCAAATTGTCACCATATTAGCTAATACTCTACAAAACATGCTGAAGGTTTGCTAAGCCAATATTGGCTAACATTTGAGAGGTTAGCCAATACTACTTTACTCAACTTTCAGCACGTTAGTTAATACCACTTTAGCTAATCTAAAAGTTATGACTTTTGTCTTCCTCTGACTTCATTCGAAACGCCAAACGTGTCACTGAAAGTAGTTCATTTTGAGTCGTCTTCACTCAGAAATCGCTTCCACACTGAAGAGTGTAATTATTATGACCTGATATTGCTCAGGTTTGATCTTTTTCTTATCAAAAATGGATCAAAGCTTTGGGTTTCTGACTGAATAGTTGCTCATCAAGGTCAGTACAGCAGAAAAACGTTTGATTCCTCTCAACAAGCAGTTCCTCTCTTTATTTCCCATACATATATATTAGATGTTGTTGTGTTATAAGTTGGTTTAATGTGTTGATATAAAATACAGAGGAAGATATTCCCAACACCTTTGACTTTTCATTCTTACACAAATGGTAAGCTTGACTTCTCATTTAGGTACACAGATTAAAACTTTGTTTTTCAGGAAATGCGAACAGTCTTATCAGAATCTGATCCAATGCCTTTAAAAATACACTCAAGATGGTTTTTATAGTAGAAAAATATCATAAAAGTCCTAACCTAAAGATCACAGACACTCTGCAACAGGTTATGCAGAAGTACTTGTCAGTGTTGGAACATTGTAGGATCTTATAGCCCTCCATCTGACTCTGATGTCTGGGGCTGCTGGTTTTTATAGATTGACATTTCTGGACCCCGAAGTTGAATTTTCCCTCCCCGGTCTGTAAATGACTGACGCCTGAACTTCTCCTAACACTTCTCCAGAGAATGGAAAGTCAGAAGATTTTTTTTATCCACCCCCCCCCCCACTTTGCCGTCTTTCTAAAGTTGAAATTTCATTTTTTTTCTCTCGCAGGTTTGTATTGCAGCAATGCTTTACTCTGATTTCAACCAACTTGTTTTGCTTGTGTGTGTTTGTGCTGCAGATCTGATCCACTGCACCAATGAGATGAACGTCAACATTCCCCAGCTGGCAGACACTCTTTTCGAGAGAACAGCCAACTCGAGCTGGGTGGTGGTCTTCAAAGCCCTCATTACCACCCACCACCTCATGATGTACGGCAACGAGGTACGGGATACACACACACACAC